CCCCAAAACCCCAAAACCCCAAAACCCCAATTGGACAAATTTATGTAGAACTTGATTAAAATTATAAATATGAAGGTGGGTTTGAAACAAATATGAATTAAGGAATATGTTTGTATAGAGCAAAGAACTAAGCCCAGTGGAATCAGAGAGGAGCAAAAATAACAGAACAAGAAGAGAGAGGGTATAATTTAGAAGAAGAGTATTGGGGGATTTTAATTAATTTAGAGATTAGGATTATTATTGATTTTATGTATGAGATATAGTTGTTAAGGGTAATTTAGAGAGTAGGGAATACTAATAGGTACTTTTGGAGGTATTTTAGAATTTTGAGAACTATTTTTGAAGTAAATTTTTTAATTTTAAGTATGATTTGATGGACTTTTAGTGTTTAGATTAATTATATGCTATCCATGAAGCAAATAATATTGTATATATAGATTAAAACCATCAACATTCTCAAATTGAAATCAAGTAAACCAAATTTACTGTAAGAAATCACCTCACCCTTCAGAAAGAACATTAACAAGAATAAATTTACTTCAGGCCTGGTAAGAAGTTTGAAAATGTTCAGAAAATTTAGTCTATTAATTTCATCCTAGAAAATTCCTGGTAGAATATCACCAAGTTGTTTTATAATAGACCTCACATTAAATTTTTATTAATCTTCTCTAGCTATCAACTCCAAAATTAGCTCAAAAACCTTCAAAGCTGAGAGTCTTAAACAATTCGAGTTCGAAATAGGAACTATCGCAGTAATGATAATCACTCTGCAAGGTACATTGACAGTTGATTTCTTAGGTCTTTCCACAAATTTAATCCTAATAACTTCCCACCAAATACCCGTGCAGGGAGTGTACAGTTGATAAACACCACTAGAGTGTCAATAGCAGAGCAAATTTTGGATTATGAGTTGGTACCGAATGATCTGATTCAGTCCAAGATAGATTATTTCATCACTCCTTATAACAAGCAGATTACATGTCATAAACATATGGACTTTGGCAAGTCCATACTGACTTCTGAAGAGTTCTTAAGAGTTATGAACGGAGAAGATATTATTCAGGATTCCAAGTATGCCATCTTGTCACATATAGACGTTGGAAAACCATAACTGATATAATCCTCAAAGTCTCTGACAAATCATTCGAGGCATCTATCAACACAGTGAATAAGGATGCCCGGCCAAAGCTGAAGGCTTTGCTTGGCAGGCTCATTCGTTTACAGAGAAAGAACCCGAGAATAAGCTTGTATGATCTTTGAAGCAATGGCGGCTTTACTAAATCAGAGATTGTTATACTCTCCAATTGTCTTCACAACATCAGAGTAAGAAATTGTTAACAACTTTTAGAAAATTTGAGAACGTTTCAAAGATGACAATCCTGAAGAACCCAGTTCAGGACTTCCAAATATTGTAGAAAGGTCTAGATCTGAGTATAGAATTGGTAGCTCAGATGTTGATCCAAGCATGCATTCCCCAAAGAGGAATAATAAGATGAAGAATTTTCCAATAAAATTTGGCAGGCTGAATGTATTTTATTAGTATTATCTACCCTTAGCTCAACCAACATGATCGGAAGAGGTACACTGTTGAACTTCGAAACAGTCTCAAAACTAAGGAACCCAGCTTGAGGAATTCTCCCAAGAAGAACTCAGAATACTTCCATACTGATAATCAAGAGATGGGTAAGGCAAGCCTTTAATGTATAGATAATGCAGTACGCAGCAATAGCTTTCAGAAGAGGTAAATCTAGCTGCTAATTCCATTCTAGACTTACCAGAAAGGAACTTGGCATGAAGTCCAAGCTGTTCTCTCAATGCATAGTTGAATCAGTTGACAAGTCTAAGTCCAAAGGAAAGTTTTCAGTCATCTATGGAGCTAAAAAGTCTCGGAATAATATGTGGTATTCAAAGAAAGCCAAAACTATTAAGGAGTTCGCCACAGCTTTCACTCATCGGTATTCTTACAACATAAGGAATAGGAGAAGTATTGCAGTACCTTCTAAATATGAGAAAAATATTAAGATGACAAAGTGGCAAGGTAAGAAGATCCTTACATATTTTTGTCAGCTCTCTTCACAAAAATTAAGTCCTGTCTATCTGCTAAAATTTATTCAGCTCTAAACAAGTTGGGTTCACTGCTATATTTTGTCTTAATAAGTTACAGACATTAACAAAGTGTTATCCAACTTAGAAAAGGAGGAATTCCCAATGCTTAGGAGCTTCAATTATGGTAAAAGTTGACTTAACCTGTAGCTCGAGATGATAGTCTTCCTCATAAGGCTTCTGGTTCTAACCTACAAAAGCAAAACACCTTGATTAATCTTATCGAGCCATTAAAAGAAGAGACTATGTAAGTGATTGTATAACATCTGAAAGGTCGTATAAATCTAAAAAGAGCACAGAAGACTCAAAAGATTATGACTTCACTAAGAGTATTTCTAAACTTGGTCAGTAATTAATCATTTCAATCTGAGCTGGCTAGATAGGGGTTTTGGGGTTTTGGGGTTTTGGGGTTTTGGGGTTTTGGGG